CCCCAGACCCTCCAAGCCCACACTCGCGTCCCCACAGGCAGCACCAGTGCCCCCCAGTCCAGCCCACAATGTGGCACCAGTGCCCCCCAGGCCATCCCTCAGCCTGGCTCCCAACGCCCCCCAAACCTCCTCAACCCCCCTCCCCGAAGGCATCACCTCCCGCTGTGGGTCCCACGGGGGGGCTCTGCCCCTGCCCAGCCCCACGGGGTGCCGGGGCAGCTGCTCCCAGCAGCCCCAGCTCCTGCAAGGGCACCCGCACCACTCTGTGCTTCATCGACCAAAAAGCCTATTTCTGTCCTTTTTTTTCTCTCACATCAGAGCAGGAGCTGCCCCCCAGGGCAGGGTCTTCGCCAGGATGGTGACACCGGGGACACCTTCGCCAGCTTGGCTGCGGCAGGCAGAGAGGGTTAACTGCAGCCTTGGCAAAACAGACCCGGTCCCTGCGGGCTGGGAAATAAGTAATTCCTTCCTCGCGCCTTCCTTGGCGAAGCAACGGCAACGCCTCTTGGCTCCCTCCTCGCCGCGCAGCCCCAACGCTCGGCTGCGCGGTGCTTGCCCCGGCGAGGCGAGGTGCTGCGGCACAGCACAGCAGGGAGGGCCAGGAATGCACAACTTCGGCGCCCGACCATCCCCGTCCCCAACTGATCAGACCCTGCCCGCACCCACCATCCCCACAGCGGCTCTCAGCCCTTGGCTGGAGCTCACGGCCAGGAGGCTGGCGGTGACACCTCGGCACGCTGTGGTACCTCCCCGCAGGCAGCCAGCCGTGCTGTGGGGTGATGGCCCCACGTCGGTGTGCGCCAATGGGTGCGGTGGCACGGCCCGTCCAGCATCGCATCCCCGCGGTCCCTCCGGCCTGGCACGACGCCGGACACCGTCCCCTCCCGCCCCTCCTCCTGGCCGGCTTCCCTGGCCCCACCACAGCTGGCTCGGGCAGTGCTCGGAGGAGCAGCTCTGGCTTTCACTGGGCCCAAATCCGGACTTGGGGCGCCCAGGGTGGCAGGGGGAGCCAGCCTGGCACAGCCCAGCATGACAGCCACCCAGAGAAAGGCAGCTTCGCCACCCAGAGAAAGGCAGCTTCGACCCCACCGGAGCCATGGGTCTGGTGCAAGACGATGGTGGAGAATCGCCATTGGCCACAGCAGCCCCGCTGCGGTGGCACACACGCACATGTGCAATGCCCCACCGGCACCAGACCCCTTCGCAGAGGAACACCCCCAGCCCATTTCTCAGCAGCAGCTGCTTCTGGAGCCGGAGGGTTCGAAGTCTTCCTGCTTCACCCGTCTCACACCAGCACAGACACCCGCCCGCACGCCAGACAGACCCGCTGGCACCAGCCAGGGCTCCCGGCACTCGTGTCCCTGCCAGGCTGGTGCTGCCGAATCCTCACTGCCCGTCCCAAGTCCACCCCAGATTAAAGCAAGCCCCTCTTGGTCAGCCCTGGCCCTTTCCTCCTGCTCTGCTGTGGTCACTGCAGGGGAGGAAATACAGGGCTTGCACTGGGGGGTCTCCACACCCCACATCTGTGGGTCGCTGGCAGCGAGGGGGCTCTGTGGACATGCCACCGGCATCCCCCATCACAGCCTCATCCTGCTCTGGCAGGACCGGTGAGGAAAGCGTGGGCACAGCCGGGGCTCTTCCCTCCCTCCCCTTCTCCTCCACTTAATGGGGCAGAAAACCCAATTAGCTTCATAAATCATGATCGGG